AAAAAAGAAAGAGAGAGAGAGAAAAAGAAAGAAAGAAAAAAAGAAAGAGAGAGAGAAAAAAAAAGAAAGAAAAAAGAAAGAGAGAGAGAGAAAAAGAAAGAAAGAAAAAAAGAGAGAGAGACAGGGGACGCGCACATGCGCGTGAACGCACCAGTGTGAGCGGACAGGAAGAAGCCGTTGTACGTGCCGTCCGCACAGCCGGCACACAGGGTCCCCGGCTGGATGAAGGGCGCCAGGGTGCGGTTGGCGGCGCACTTGAAGCCCAGCGGCTGGGGCGGCCCACCGGCCGGGCTGGCATCACCGTCGCACACGATCGACGGGTCGCCATCGCAGTTGAAGTCCTTGCTCTCCAGGTAGGTTTGCGAGGAGCTGGTCAGGGCCCAGGCGCCACGGGCATCCCGATCGACCAGCAGCACCAGGCTCAACGGGTCGCTGGCCAATGTCCCCGGGAGAATCACCCTTTGCCAGATGGTCGAGGCATCCGGGTCGTCGGGGGCGATATACACGCGCCACAGCATGCCCGGGGGGTCCATGTCTTGCAGGTAGATCCAGCCGACGGGAGTGTCGGCCAGCGGCCTGACCAAACGCACGGAGCCCGAACTGCCAGGTGGGAAGGCGAAATGCCGGGGATGGACACAGTCAGGCTGCGACAGGAAGTTGATGCACACTTGAATGGTGCCATCGCCGAAGAGGAGAACGCGCTCAACCGCGGCGTCTGAAAAAACCCGCACGAGCATGGCATCGATCACCGGGGCGCCGAAGGAGGACTGCTCGATTGGAAAGCCATAATTGGACCAATCAAACTGGAACCAATAAACGGTAGCCCCGCTGTAGACCAGGAAAGTGCGCATGGGCCCGGCCACCGCCAGGGGATGGGATCCTTGCGCCAGGGAGAGAACATTGACCGGGGCATTTTCCTGCTCCGCGCCCGGCCGGAAGCGGACCAGCATGAGGCCGTGGGAGCTGGTGTCGAAATAGAGGATGCCCACCCGGTCGGGGCCGTCGGCCACGGAGGCCAACACCCAGCTGACCCGCTGATGTGGCAAATGCCGCCAGGAGGAGCGATCATTCGAAGCAAAGGACTTGTTGTCGGATGCCAGGGCCGACACAACCGGGCCCTGGGGGGAAAAGGTCACCAGCGGCGTGTAGCCCGTGCTCGGGGCAACTAGGGCCTCGGCCAGGGGGGGGCCGGCATCGACCGATGTAAGACTACCGACCCGGAGGTCCCACGGGTGGCCGGGCGGGGAGGGCTGCGAGAGGAGCACCGACTCGCGGTCCAGGAGGGCCGCGACCATGGCCGTGCCCAGGCCGGGACCCGGGGGGCCGGAAAGATCCATTGTCGGCGAGTGGGTCCAGGGGGTGAGCATTTGCTGGAAGTAGACGGGATTGCTGTCGATCGGCGGGGTGGGGCCCGGCGGCGGCACCACCGGGGACCGGGCAAGCGCGAGGGCCAGGACCATCGCAAGGGCAAGGGCCACCCCGAGGGCGAGGGCCACCGCATGGGCAGGCGCCGATGCCCGCCGGGGGGGCCGTGGCGCCATTTCCGTGGAGAAGGCCGAGCGGCAGCCGGCGAGGGGACGGGGCTGGGGAGGGGGAGGCGGCGGCGGAGGAGGGGGGGAGGCAGGGGAGGGGGGGGGCATGCGGCAGGCGCTCCGGGGGGGCGGGGGCGGCCGGTCATGCGGCGGTCGGCCTCAAACATCTGCCCGAGCGGCGGGGGGGCTCCTTCGTGCGCGGGGGGGGGGGGGGGGGGGGGGGGGGGGGGGGGGGCAACGCCTCGGAAGCTGGCGCGCCCGGGGCCCTGCTTCCCAGCCCCGGCTCCGGGTGGGCCGGGTCATGGCGGCCCGGGCCGGATCCGGCGGCGGCCGCGGCGGCGGCGGCGCGGGCCGTGAAGTGGGCACCATGGCCGGGATGTGTGCGGCACCCTCATCGGGCAAGAAGCCGTCCGACGACCCGCACGTGCGGCGTGAGTCATGTAACAACGCCCTGCCGGCGGCCGGGCGTGCGATGCGACGAGTGCCAACGCTCTACTCCCCACCCACGGCGGGGGCGGAGGCCTAACCGCGGCCTCCGCTCGTGTGGGGACGCCTGCTCGCGTATGCCAGGAGCCTGTCCGGGGGTCTCCGGCCCCCGGTGGCGGGGGGTGCGCGCCGGCCGCGAGCTGCGCTTTGCCCGCCCCTGCCTGTGGGTGTGGGCATGGCGTACGGGGCCCTGGGGGGAAAAAAAAAGAGCCGCGTGCCCGAGGGGCTTCCCTCCTCTGCGATCGGCAGGGAGGCGGGGGGATGCTGGCGCTGCGGGGTGCTGGCAGCTTTGCCTTCTGCCGCCCTGGACCGCCGATCAGCCTGCGGGCTGGGGCGCTTCGCAGGGTGCCGGTGTTCCGCGTGCGGGGGGCGCCGGCAGCTTGGCGGGGAGGGCCCTGCCCGGCAGGTGAGCGACGCGCCGGTGGACATGGCCGGGAGCCGGGGGGAGGGGCGGGGGGGGGGGCGGCGCCTGCCATGCGGGTGGACCGGGCCATGCGCAGATCCATCGACACACACACACACGGGGAGGCACTTAGGCCCATGCGCCGGCAGGGCCACGCAAGAATCCACCCAGCCACGGGCGGGGGCGGGCGGGCCGGTGGCCGTGCGAGACGGGCCGCCAGCCCCGTCGGCCCGGAGGGCGAGTAGGCCCTCGGCCAGGGTGCCGCCGGGCCAGACCACGGACCGAAGGCCGCCACGCGCACGAGCCCCGGGCCGACGACAGGGCTGGCGGCCCGTCTCGCCCGGCCGCCGACCAGCCAAGGCTCGAGCAGGGGACCCCGGCGCGCGGCATGTGTGCCGGCCGGTGCCGGGCGGCGCGGCTCGGCGCTCGGGCGGCTCGATGCCGGGCCGTGTGCCGTGGCCGTGTTTACCAGGGACGGGCAACCGGGAAGGGGGCCCTGCGTGGCGCATGCCGGCGGCGGCCCCCGCTCGGCCACGGTGTCAGGGCTCGGCCCCGGTGGCCGGGCGCCCCCCGAGCCAAACCCCCTCCCCGGTGGCGGCGCCCGGCACACAGGGCATCCCGGGCGAGCGCGGCGGGCGCGCGGGCAGGGCGCATGGGCCCGGCGACCTGGGCGCTCGTCCCCTCCCCCCGCCCGAGCCCCGTGCAACATCGCCACGGGCATCGGATGCCGGCCAGGCCGGCTTGCAAGGCGCGGAGCCGACCGCCGCCGGCGGGAAGACCAAGATCGCCAACCGGAAAGAAAGGAAAAACACCCGGCCGCACCGAGGGGCGGGGGGGGGACGGGGGACACAGCGGGAACGGTTGCGCGCACCCGGGCCGCGATGCCCCCCGGCCCCGGGCGCCTCCGAAAGGGCGCATTCTTGCGCGCCGCCCGCTTGCCCGCCCTGAAACAGGCATGGTCCCCATGGTGGCCATGCCGCCCGCGAGTCCGCCCCTTCCCGGGGGGGGGGGGAGTGCGCCCCGGACGGCCGCGGCCCCGGGGCGTATGCCGGAAAAACAAGCGCCACATACATGGGTTTAAAATAGTGGCCTTTATTATTGCCCGCCGCATTGTGCCAGGGGCAGGGGGCGGTGTTTCGTGGGCGTGGTGTGCCGGGGAAAAAAGCAACAACAAGAAGTAGGCCCCCGGCCGGGGTGCTGGCAGTCCGAATGATGTAGATGGTTATCATATCTGTCTAACACACAGAATGTCCCAGGTTCGAGTCCTGGTTCGGACAGTGACTTCTTTTGCCCACCGGGCCATTGTTCCTCTTTTAGCCCCGGCCCTCCCCCCCAGAGAGAGAGAGAAAGGCAGCATGTGTGAACAGCACCCCGAATGGCGGGCTCTCAGCGGCGAGCGGCGGCCGAGAAGACGGCCGCCGAGGCGACGGCCTGGCGGAAGGAGGCGGCCAGCGGGCGCGACCCGGGGGCCGGGTCCCAGGCCATCGTCAGCAGGTCGGCCATGGCGGCCGGGCCGGGCGCGGGCTGCCCGTCCCCGGGGCGCGTGCCGGCCGCCACGCACGCGCGGATTTCGTCGAAGCCCAGGCCTGGGTGACGTCGGACCAGGGGGCGGGGGGGGG